TATTTCTAGCTTTGAGACAGGAAGTCACTCTCTAGCCCAGGCTGCCCTTATCTCTGGCAGCCCACCCACCTCAGCCTCCTAAGCTCTAGAATTCCAGGTGTTTACTCTGCCACAGCCAAGTGCCTTCAGTGATTAATGCACTCTTTTCCCTATCAGGAAAGGTTGTAGCAGTGAACTGGCAATTGTGTGGCCACACTATACTACCCATGCTTCAAAATCGCTGCCAGAATTTGGCTGAGTTTTTACTTTAGTGAGAGGTCTAGGCCAAAGCTGCCATTGAAAATGAGTAAGTCAGGGCAAAGACACAGTGATAACACCAGGGGCGTTGGTAACTGCACAGAAAGCAGGTGCTTTGCAGCCCTGGTGGTTCAGGTAGGTAGGGGTGGCGGCCCACTCACCAGTCAGAACAGACACAAAGAACCCAAGGAGCCCAGTGGCGCTCAGAGAGGCAAGCGAACAGACTGAAGGAAGGCAGAAGCAGAAAGCATCAAAACTTAAGCAGTGTGACTACTGATTGCGTAGGAATTGCACATAAAACTCAGTGGAACCCTTGGGTATGAGAAATGACCAGCTCTTGAGACCATGCCTCCTACACTGCATCTGTACACAGACAAGATGTACACATCCATCTCCTGGATGACTCCAAGTTTGAACCATTTGAGAACCTGACCCAGAGTGGCCTTTATTTACTCTGATAGGGCCTTTCCTGCTGCCTGCACAAGATAAGTTTCAAAACCACCAGCGAGGCTGGGATTCTAGCTCGGTAACAGAATGCTTGCTTCAATTCCTAATCGTACCTCCCCATTGGAAAGATGGGGTATTTGGGTAAATGTTAAAGGGAGAGGAGGGGAATCACAATGTTCAGTTCCCCCAATGCAGCTGAGCACTGGTGTTTCTCCGATGGGATTAATGTCCTAGGTCCAGGGCTGAGGTCACTGTAGTCCTTAGGGCATTTATTTTAGTCTTAGGCTCTGTGTTAGACACTGGATATCACAGTGAGGAAAATGGCTGGCTCTATTCTCCAGGGGACTCCTCTCTAGAGTTTTACTCTAACGTTCACAGATGTCAGTCCCACCTTCTGGAGTGCGGGTACTGGCCCATAGGTCTGTGGGTTCTCAGTACTTACTGCAGTAATGCAATAGTTGTTTTCCTGCTCCCATGAACTTGGTTTCTCAGAATGTGGGAGCATGGTGCCACCTTCTGGACAGGAGAGCAGGCTGCACGGCCAACACGTGGGCAAGAGAAGTACAGACACAGCTCTCCACGCTTCTGTACTTAGTAGGCGCCTGTGGTTTTCATTTGTTACCTACTAAAACTACAGGACTTACTAGATGAGTCTTTCTTCTTGCCTTGTGTTTGGGGAGCGAGTTGTTTTGGTATGATTCCAGACCGGGTGTCCTGTGACAACAGTGGAAGCTGACTCACGCTCAGTCTAAAGACATCAAAAGCCTGGTAGGATTGCACACTGAACAGGCAAATCAAACTATGGAAAGCAAAGAAACTAAAAGTGAACCAGAAGAAAAAGGATAACCCCAGGTTCTATCTTTTCTTTGTCCTTTGCAGGCCTTAAGTCTGTAATCTTTCTGCCTCAGCCCCGTGTGGGGTTACAAGCCTCCCGACTGCATCGTTCTACTATAAGCTGCCATTTAAGGGAATACCAGTGATTTATTTTAGTTAGGATGTAAAATTTCTTTCAAATTACTGCTCAGTTTTGTGCACCAAGAACTCAAATATACCTGTGGCAATAGTACCCTTCTCAGACAGACAGGCAAATGTGGGTGTTACCTCAGAATACACAGGTGACATAGGTGTCAGGACTGCCACCGGTAGGGGTGACCTGGCTTACATCACTTGCACACCAGAGACCTGGCCTTCAGGGAAGCGTCGTCTTCCTAGCTGTCTCTAAACACGTGGCAAAGAGAAGGGTTTTGCTTTTACAGCCATTTAACTATTCACCTGCCTTCTGCATCATTCAAATAGAAATGTTTTCTAAAAGAAAAAAAAAAGCCTAGCATGTTTTAAATTCTTCTCAAAGTCAAAAGAATTAGTCACATTATTTCACAAGAACTTTGTAGGTTTCGTGGTTCTAATGGCACCGGGTAAACACGGAAAGGATGTTAAGGCAACAGAATCCTGAAAATGAAAACAGACATTGTCTTTAATACTCTCTGAACTCTTGGATCAGTTGGGGTTTTTTAAATCCCTTTTTTAGTTATTAATATGTATGATTGTCTTACTCATATGTATGCCTATGCACCTTTTGAGTGCCCGGTGTCCTCCGAGGTCAGAAGAGGGCACTGGACTCCCCGGAACAGGAGTTGTGGATGATTTTTGAGCCACCCCAATGGTGCTGGGAATCGAACCCAGGTCCTCTGCAAGAATAAGAAGTGCTCTTAACTGCTGAGCCATCTCTTCAACCACAGCTATCTTGATGGAGAGTGCAGGATTTGCTGGGAGCTGAATGGGAGACTTGGAAATCTTCCCATTCCCTGTGCTCTGCATGACTCCTAGCTGCTGAGCACTATGGGTGCTGAGTGACAGGAAGCCCGTTCCCTAAAGAATGAAGAGATAAGCTCCTTCCCCAGCTACTCTTTCGGACCCTTTTCATGTTCTAAATGTTTCAAAGGAGAAGACAATCTTGTTTCTTTGCTTTGAGGATGAAACATGATTTTGGGACCAGCTGTACCCAGCACCCATATTCATTTCAAAGAGGTCCTTGGTGGAGAGGCTTCTGCTGAAGCAGATAAAGCAGATCAGACAGCCCTTTCTGTTTTAATGATATTTCTGCTGAAAGAGGGTACTGCTGCTTCTAACACTAAAGAACCTCCTGTTTTCACCAAGTACCCTTGGAAAGGCACCTCAAACATCCTGATGAGAGTACAGGGTTCTTACAGCGGTACTCCACGTTATTTCACACACCCAAGTTCCGAGCAGTGCGAGTCTTCTGTGTACTGTGCATGCATCCGGGTGTCATTCAAACCTGTAACCTAGTGGCAGCTATTTTCATTATGCGAGCAGAACTCATTGCCTCTGTCTGCCTCTCCCACAGCCTTTCTCTGCACTGGCATCACGTGTGCCTGCCTGTTCACAACGATCTCACATCCATGATCTCCCCAAGTACATCTGTACAGCATTGTTGCTTTTCCCTGATGCTCCCATTTCAGATGTGATAACAGTAGAGTGGCCTATTAGAGCTGGATAGAAAAGGGGGAGCCAGAGGCAAGATGGGCTGTGTGAAGATGCTGGTCCCCCAGATGGACTTTACCCACACCCCAGCAAGCTGACCTCGTCCCCTGGGTACCGGAACTTCTCTACAGCACTTTTGTTCCGGGTTCTCTCTTTCTTCCATGCGTTGGCATACTTCCTCCCTTCTCCCTGGCACAGTTCTTACTTTTTTATCTCATCCAGGAGGTGCGCAGTACGATCAAAACCACATCATCCTCAACACAGTGAACACAGAGAAGTTAACACAAGTGTGGGAAGCCATGGTCCTGTGACCCTGAACCGAGAATGCAAGTGTTTCCAGATCTTCTGGCCACCGTATTGAAGAAAAATAAAATTACAGAGCTGATGCACTGATGGAGGAGCCAAGTGGAAAGTGGACCAAAGGCTACGACAGGGAAATTATCTTTTTAAAGTCGTTTGAATTTGAAGCCAATAGTTTGCTGTTCTTGTTTCTTGCCTTGGGTTTTCTCAGTAACTCCTTAAACAGGTTTTGGGTGTAGATGTTCTAAAGATCAAGACCACGTTTTAACTTATTTCCAGAGACAAGGGGAGACAAGACCTCTGAGTGTTGACACCCGGATTCCCTCAGATTACTTGTCAGAAGACTTAGCATGGGAGGCTGCTTTGCCAGACTTCTGATCCACTGCCTTAACATTTACTGCTGGATGGCAGAGTGGGAAACTCCTATATACTCAGACATGTTCCAAGGAGTTTGGCGAGTATAAACAAAACACTATTTTCAGTTAATGTTCAAAATGAATAAATTTGCAAATGTTCATGCTGATGTCAGCTCATGAGCAGAACCGGGGTTATTTTAGTTCTCTTGTGGGCTGTCCTCGAATGTCACACAGTTTATTGCCTTCCCTACAGCTGCTATGGGGACAGTATTATGGCCTAATTTATTAACCCTCACTTTGTCACCTACCTAGAATGTGGGAGCCATATTCTATAATTTTGGCTAAACCTTGAGCTTTCAGCCTGGTGGTCCCAGGGCCACCAGCAGGACTGCTACGGATCTGAAGACAACAGGACCTCCCTTCTGGAAGCAGATGTGGTAGCGGCAGGCAAGGGTTACTTCTATAGCGAGTGAGGGAGAGATCCCGAGGGCTCTGTGCAGTGCTAGTGCAGAGACCCAGACCTCTGCAGGCAGTTCAGGAACAACTGTCCTGATGGACTGGCCCAGACTCTGCTGCTCAAACAGCACATTGTCCTTTTGAGCAAAACTGCCAGACATTTTCTTTGACACGTCTTCCTCATTTTGTTCTTATCACAATATTGGTGCTCTTGTCAGGGGCTGAACAGTCCACTTCTGCTTCACCTGCTTGAGCCTGTTTGGAGCCAACAGCAGGCAAGTGTGCTCATCTGAATAGTTTCTCTGCAGCTTAAGCAATACGTGCACAAAAAGTAGCATTTAGCATGTCTGTCTTCTTAGATGTACATCTCTGACTATAGGCCTTTTGTGTATGTTGCTAGAGTATGGTGGGGTAACATATCCTATCAAAAGCCTGTTTGATTTTACCTCTTGAATAAACTTATTCCTGGCTAGCCATGTGATAAAATCCTGGCATCAATTTAGCGGTCCTCTAACACAGCTGAGAGTCGTGGGTTAACTGCAGGCACTTCTTAGCTACCTTTAGGAGCGCTCACCGGTGCACTCAAGTAAAGGTACCTGCCACCAAGCCTAAGGACTGGAGTTCTGTACACAGAAGCTACACGGTAGAAGGAGAGAACTGAACGGTAGCCTAGCATTGCACATGTGCCCACACATATACACACAACAGAAAAACAAACATTTATTTTCATTATCATTGCAGAGGTACATGCGTGGAGTGGGGAGGGGGTCAGAAAGCAATTGTGTGGAGCTAGTTCTTTCCTCTCCTCCCCCCTTCATGTGGGTCCCAGGGAGTGAGCTCAGGGAGCTCCAATTGCACTGCCAGCACCTGTACCTGCTGAGCTGTCTCACCGGCCCATATTAGGGTTAGAAACATATCATGAAACTTAAAATCTAACTTGGAAAATATCTATCGGGGGCTAGATGTCTGGATCACAGGCACTCAGTGAGGAGACAGCAGCCCTGGCAAGCACATGTTTATTTAAATAACGTTAACCACAGTCTTTCCCCGGGCGTGGCCTCTTTCCACCTTCAGGAAGGCTTCTGGGACTTCAGAAAAGGGGAAGGTTTGTTCAATAACTGGCCGAATCTACAAAACACAAGAGACAACAGGTTGATAAAGAGACCTACACTTTCTGTGGTGACAGTGTCTGTAGATATCCTTCAATGCCTGTCTCGGGGGCTCTCTGCCTTGTGCTGAGGGCAGGGCTCCAGCTGCCTCTCCTCCTCCTCCCTCCTCTCCACTTTTACTGTTTCACCTTTACTCCATCTTACTCCCCAGTAACGCTGTCATTCCTACTCAGAGCCCTGCAAGAGCTCCCAAACCTGACTTCCCAAGACACACTACATCCTAGCCTCATGCTGCTTGGCATTTTCATTTTTTGAAAATTCTATTTTATTTGTGTGTGTGTGTGTGTGTGGTTTGTGTGAGTGGTGTGGGTATAGACACATGTGTGTTATCTGGTGCATGTAGAAATTAGAGGAAAATTTTTGGGAGTCAGTTCTCTCCTTCTGTCCCTTCTGGGTTCTGGCTATCAAAGTGGGCTTTGGATTCACTTCGTAAGTGCTATTCCACTGAGCCATCCCACTGGGCCTCCCTGTCATTTTCTAACGCTGTATGCTGTTATCTGTGTTAGCCTCACATCTGCAATTGTGCACCCCTGGCCTCACAGCCCTTTCTATCCCCACCTGCAGTGTGTTTTTTTGAGCTGCTCTAGGAGCCACTGAGCCCCCTCAGAGCCTGCAATCACTACAGTGAGCACAAGTCTGTGTGTTTCTAGCTGTGCAGGAAGTAGCACGGCCCTTGCTGCACACATCTCTGTGCTCCCCTCATAGGTGTGCACACACACGTAGTGTTTCCTAGTCTTAAACACGTGCATACATATTTACATACACAGAGCAGAAAGCATCTGTGTATCTTTATATATCTATAATACCAACATGTAATGGGTGCTTACTTAAGGCTCTAAAATGAAAAGCCATGAGATAGGAAGCAAGCGTCCTATGTGAGCTCTCTGGGTGTGGGGAGCTCCACTCAGCAGCCCACAATGCTTACAAGTTACAGGATGAGGAACCACCAGCTCAGTCAGCTCAGTGGCATCTGGGTAATGCTGGCTACCTTTACAGTTCCTCAGCACTGGGAGAAGTCTCCTGAAAGCAGGTCCAGGCAGAAGTCCACCTGAACGCTTCCTTCCAAATGTCTAGCAGAAAGAGTGTGTGTCCACTGGACACCACACTAGACTGCTTCTCACTGCTCCACTGACAAGGGTCAGCTGCCACACAAGGCACACACTGACGCACAGCCTAGACGACCCTTTTCCTTTGACAAGAGGTAGACATATTTTATGATGTTCGGATGTATCTGATGTCATGTCCTCTGATGTGGCTTTCAGAGCTCTCAGGCACCACACACTCCTCCTCCCATGAGCTGATGATTCTTCTGCATCCACAGATCACTACAAGCTCAGACTCACAGTAAGAGAGGAAGTGCTCCCACGATGGACTACCCAAGTTACATAACTTGAGAGTAGAGGTCACTCCCACCTTATGAAACTTTGGGTAACTGCACGGAGTCAGAGCCACCGCTCTCAGCACTGCCCAGAGCTGGCCATTATCATCTGCTGCTTTTCATCTCCACCCAGGAAGGAAGGGAAAGGAGCTGGACATGGCAGTGAGTCATCACGGCCTGAATCCTGGCCTGCCTTCCCTGGGTCAGCTGAGGATCTGCTCTCTAAGCCCTGCACCGAGCCCCAGCGATGACAGATGCTGTGGTATACTGCCTATGGAGGGTGTCACTAACTGATAGTCCCCAGCACACTGAGTAGGCCCTCAGATCCTTCCACAACACCGCAGGAACACATTCAGAGCTGACCTGAGCTGCCTTCTCTGCTAATAGAAAGAAGGCACTTGGGCTGTTCCAGCACTCTCCTTAGAGCTCCAGGATGCTGTGTACTAGATGCCATTTAACTGGTAAATGAATGACCCACGCCCACACTTCAAACACATCCTCCACTGACTCTCGGTACAGTGGTCTCAGACTCTGGATTGCTCTGCGTAAGTTCCAGAGAGGCATGCACACTTCCGCAGGAGTCCTGGGCCTTTCTGCTGACTCTCACGTACCGAGGCTGCCACCATATATGCTCTCAGCCTACCAGGTTCACTACACCTCTCCCTGCAAAGCACCAGCCTAGCACAGTACACAAAGCAGACTCCACCCAGAACACACAGCCTGAGCCGTCATGCCAGGCTCCCTTCAGAGCTCTCTGCCGGAGCCACAGAGCCAACTTGCTGACTGGACCACTGCAGCGGCTGCACACTTTAATCTGGCTGGGCAGGCCCTTTGTGACAAAGAGCCCGAGAGGGCTGACTGTGGCATAATGAGTCATTCAGCAATTCCTGTAAGTGACAATGAGAAGAAAAGGGGGGAGGGTGGCCTTCAAATTACAGTCAGGATATGTGAGTACAGGGAGATTAACTGGATCATGAGACAGTGTCTACGCACAGCCTCACGCTGGACCTAGAATGCGTGCTTGTGAAAGAGAAAGGGATCAGAGTTAAACTCCAGAGGGGGGAAAAGGTTACTCACAGTGAAGTGGGGACGTTTATGTGATGACATTGCTGTAGTCCACTTGGCATGCGGAGCCCTGTTATAAATCAGGCAGGCGCAAGGCCACACTTCTCGCTGCACAGACACCCGGGGATCCCAGGTGGTCAATCAGTAACCACCCACAGCAGCAGCCCTTATTCGGTGTGGGAGGCAAGTGTGGGGTCTCCAGAGTGCACCTCCCCTGCCTTAAACAGGACTGGGATATAGCACTTGTTGCCTGGCACCCCTTCTTTAACACAGGGACAAGAACATCACCCTTCCCAAGTATGACCACCTTTCAACAGCACTGCTGTTTACAGCCACTGGGCACGCCTCTGAGGGGCAGCTAAGAGCTAGAGGGGATGAGCATCTGAGCTAAGCTGCTGAACAGAACAGGACGCTGAAACTAAGCAGTTGTGTGGTTCACACAAAGCCGGAGCTTGCAGGAGAACAGCCAAAGTGAGGACCTGGGATACCTGACTATACTGCCCAATGGGACGAAGGTGGTCTGGGAGTCAGTCTGTCCCCATTTCCCTAAGCTCCTCATCCTCATCCTCTACAGCACAGCTCCCAGGCACAGAAGCTGCAGAAATCAGAAGGTGAGGTACATGAGGATGAACCAACAGATGCAGACACCATGGAAGATTCAAGAGTTCCTGGTTTAAGTCCAAATCCACATCTCTGCCAATGGGCACTAGGACCACAGTCCCAGAGCCCTCTCTGGGAGTTATACCCCAGTTTCTGTTAGGCCTGTCAATATAAGGGAGGAAGGTAACTCAAAACCCCCAGAGCTGAGAAGACAGCAAAAGGAAGAGGTGAGGTTTGTTCTAGTTGGGTCTTTTTTGGGTACTTCCTGAGTCCACAAAGTAACATTAAAACTGGAAGATGGGTGTGGGACAGATGAGGGATGGTGGATGAAGGTGTGCTCTGAGATATTAAATGTACCCATCAGAAGAGATTCCAGGAAGCACTCCTTTCCAACCATGGGAGTGGAGGAACTCGGTATCGTTCTCATGGAAAAAAACCTCAAGACTCGCTTAGAAAAAATCAGAAAAGTCAGGCATGATGGTCACACATGTGACCCCAGAGCCAGGGGCTAGACATGAAAGCACTAAGCCTCTGAGACTAGCCTGGGCTACAAAGCGAGGCCTAGAACCTTCTTTCAAAAGAAAACAAAAAGGGGAAAAAATTAAAAGGAATTCAGAAGCATTAAGGCTGCGATGAGATGCTGAAATACCAGGCTTGCTAACTCTCCTCTAGTGGTTCTCATGACCTGTTCTCAAACTACCGTATTCTCCCTATGGAGCAGGATCCAGCTGAGTATGAAGCTTGAAGCCTGGCCTCCAAGAGGGGCTGGAAGTCATCTACCTCCCAGCTCAGTGCACTCCCTTTCGCAGCTGTATGGCTAATACAGTGGCCTCTAAGTACATGTGACTAGTTCAAATTTAATCAAGAGAGTAACCAAAATGGAAAAGTCAGTCTCCTGGCTACACTGGCCACATTTCTAATACTCAGCAGTCACAAATGGTTTAGTGGCTACCTGCTGACCGAGAGGATGGACAATTCCACCACCAGAGAAAGAGCTAGTGGACAATGCTGACGAGGAGGTTAACTATTCACAGCAGACCTGGGAAACAGAGCACTAGGAGTCCTCAGCAGATGGTACAGACTGAACTCAAGCAGTGGAAATAAAGAAATAGCAAACTCTGGGAAGACAACACTGATGCTCAACCAAACCTGAATGGTCAACTACAATTCCGAAGAGACCTGTGAACATTAAGTACACGACAAAAGGGTTTTTAAAATGTCATGAAGAAGCCAGGCATGCTGGTGCAGGAGGCTGAATCTCTGTGAGTTCGATGCCAGCCAGAGCTACATAGTGAATTCCAGGAAAGCCAAGACTACATTGAGAGACCCTTTCTCAAAAACCAAAAGCAAACAAAATATTGTGTGAAGAATACATTGTGCAAATAAGGATATGCAAAATGGTTAAAAGGGCCAGGTATGGTGCAGGCCTTTAATCTCTGAATTTGATACTACCTAGTTTACATAGAGAGTTCTAGGTCAGTCAGGGCTACCTATCAAGACCTTGTCCTAATCAATCAATCAATCAGTAGGAACTAGGTAGGTGGCTCATGCCTGTTATCCCATCCACTCATACAGCTAAAGTAAGAGGATCACTTGAGCCTAGGAACTCAAGGCTAGGAAGTATTTTTAATAATCATAATAATCATAATGAAATAAAACGTCTTTCTTCCAGTCATCTGGTTTCCTTCCTCAAGAACAACCAACATTCCAAGAGGGCCGTGCATCAGATCAGTCAGAATACTGACTACCTGAAACATTCACACCCGAATTCCCTAGGCCTGTGACAAAAAGTGGCAAAAGGCTTTGCAGACATGATTAGGGTAAGGGTGCCCAAAGCAGATCACCTCGGGTCAATGAAGTAGAATCGTAGGATTCTTAAAAAGAATAAGGCAGGTCTCAGAAGCCTGTGGCCACTA